GGTTATTTTTACTGATAATCCAATAGATACATTGTAGTTCTCTGATAAACAGACCCATCATTAGAATTTCCCAGCATACCCCAAAGCCTGCCAAGGAGTATGAATAAAATAGACTGATGGAAACTGATCAAATACATTTTATCTTGTTTCTTATGAAAACATTTACAAGAAAACGCCCATTTTTTTAAAAGAAATGGGTACTAAATTCAGCATGGTTGACATCAGAAACCCCTTTATTTAATCAAATTAAGCTCAGCAATCTTTTCCCTTGTCTAATTTAAACATTACTATAGCAGACAGGGTTTGCTGAGTTCCTCTTGGCTCATGGCACTGATTCTGCCTATTTCTAAATTAAACAAATAAAGTTTGCCAGGAGGCTCATACAGCAAACACATGAAGTAAATTTGGAGATCAGAAGTAATGCCTCCTCCCTTCACTATTGACGAGTGTCAGAACCTCAGGGAAATCATGTGTGTGACATAGGGGATGATGAAAAATTACTTTTGGAGAAGCTAATTTCTGTGAACGGGATAGTAATGACATGCTTTTAGTCATATTCTATTAGTTGACTGGCAAAGGCTCACTCAGAAGTAAACCTGATAAGAAGATTATCATATATGCAAAGAACATTTATCAAAATTAGAAATCTATCAGCAAATTAGGAAAAGACTTTTTTCCTCTTGGGTTTAGAGGTGCTGGATTAATGTGCAAAATTTTGTTCTTAATGAGAGCCCAGATACAAGATTGGGAAAAAAATGTTTCTGGAAGGAAAATTCCTGTAAGGAGAAACAAAAAGTGGGTTCTTCATAGCCAATCCAGAAATCCCGTATTTTATTTCAGAGGGGTTTAAAGTTACATTGTTCCTGTATTCTAGTATCTTTGTATTTTTCTGTCAGAGTCTATAATTTTGAACCAATTCTTGGATTATTCATTGCTCTCCATCGCTTTGACTAGAGCAAGATTAACTAAGGTTTCTAGAACATATCTGTGTTTATTAGAGTGTTTCCAGAATGCTGCTTGTGCTATTTTTAAATACTGCTACATTGAAAAAGAAAAAGGAGCAAGGGGAAAAAAAACCTCAAAAGTAATGTGATAATATTCTGTTTCAAATTCCGTATGTTTACGAGTTTGAAATTACTGAGTTTCCACCCATCTGTGCATAAGTTTCCTTGATTTCTTTTAAAGTATTTTAAAGTAATTTATTTCACCTAAATTTCCTTTGTATAGAAAAATTGTATAATACAGAATATTATAAAGAAGAATAGTTACATGACCAATAAACCCCACTACCATGATTAAGATTCTTTGTATTCTTTTATTTATACCTATTTATCCCTTAACTAAAAAAAGATGCCATAGTTACAGTGTAAGCTACTAATTATAATTTACTCACCTATTCCCTATCCTTCACCCACTGAAGCTCTAAAAATATCCTTTTACCAGAAGCCAGGCTTTGAATGAGGGGACCTACTGCCTTACCCAGTCTGTTTTTACCTCTGTCTTGTTCAGCAGTGATATCTGCTTGGCTCTGCTTTGGACCTCTTATCATCACTAAGGAGCAAAATTTATATAATGTAACTTAGGTAGATTCCAGAGCCCTTATTATGCTGAAATTCCTGCTTACATTTAGAAAAGCACCAAAACAAAGACTTTGAAATCCTCCAACCCTCTATTTTCTCCTTATGCCTAAACTTTGTTAACTTTGATGCAAATGTAATGTATATGTAAAACTTCGATATAAATTCAACATGTAAATGAGTGAGTATGGCTATGTTCCGGTAAAACTTTATTTAAACTATGGCAGCTGGCCATAGCCTGCCATACATTTAAGCCATGAATCTCTAAAGCATTGTGTGATGACATACTTGTCCATTTGAGGAAGAAGTTAATAATTAAGAAGTTAAATATTTACTTTACATCATATACAATAGGAAATCATGTATCTATTAAGGATTTAAACAGTAAGAAAACTATAAAAATATTCTGAATGATACAAAGCATATTGACCACAAAACAAGATGGTGACAAATGTGCCTACATAAAATTTAAGATCAGAAAGCACACTATAAATAAAAAGACAAACTGGAAAAAAAGTTGCAATCTGTGTGACTAGCAATTGGTATTGTTTCAACACACCAGTAAGATAAATAACTCAAAAGAAAAGACAAAAGATACAAATTCACAAGAAAAGATATATAAAGTTCAGTAAACAAAAGATGCTATTTTACCAATAGTGAAGTCTCTATATTAAAAGAATATTTTTTGCCTGCCAAATTTATAAATGTGAATAATAATACTCATAGTACTCAGTATGTTGGGGAATGTGGGGAAATAAACAACTGGAGATGGTTATAATATCTCGTATTTGTTTTATATGATTGTGCAACACATTACCCTTCAACTGAGCAGCTAAAAATAGCAAACATTTATTATCTCACAATTTCTGTGGGTGGCGAATCTAGGAGTGGCTTAGCCAAGATGGTTCTGCTCAGAGTTCTCATAAGGTTGTAGTCGAGCTGTGAGCCCCTGGACAATCTGCCACTGACCGCTACCATTGAGTGTTGGCAGGCTCCAGTTTCCTTCCTGCCTGTTGCCAGGGATTTCAGGTTCTATCACATGGACTCCCTGAGTGTCCTTACAACTTGCCAGCTGTTTTTCCCCTGAGCAAGTGATCTAAGAGATAGAGGATCTAGAACAGACACCATGGTGTAGTCTGTAATCTAATGGCAAAAGTGACATATCATCACTTCTTCCATATGTTATTGGTCACACACACACTAATCCTGGTATATCGTATGGGAAGAAACTACACAACAGGGTGAATACCAGGGGGCAGGGATCCTTTGGAACCATCTTGGGGGCTAACTACCACATGGCTGTATTGGTAGTGTATGCCTAGGGCCTTATTTCTCCATCTGCTGGGTTATACAGTTTTCTACATGGTCTCTGCTGTGACTGGAATACCCAGAATGGCTTTTTTTCCCCTCAACTTTGGCACCTGGGGGTTGGCTGGGCATCTTTCACCCCATGTGGCTAACATGGGCTTCCTTACAGTATTGTAGTCTCAGGTTAGTCATACTTCTTATATGGCAACTGGTTTCCCCCAGAACCAGCATTACAGAAGATCTAGTTAGAAGCTGCAAAGGGTCTTGTGACCTAGCCTCAAACTGTTTCCATTTTCTGCTGTCAAAACATGTCATAGGACCAGGTTAGAATTCAAGAGCATGTTTACCAGGAGGTGTGACTTATTATGAAGGGCCATGTTTGGAACCTTTCCGGGAAGTTAAGCTTTACAGAGTTGATGCTGGCTTATTCTTAAAGCTAAGTGAAGCAATACAAACGGACCTGATTCTGGATATACTTTGAAGATAAAATTAACAGGGTTTGCTATGGTCTAGATATATGTTATGTAGGAGAAATAAAGAGGTCAAAGATAAATCTGAGAATTTTGAGTCAAGCAATTTGAAGAATAGAGATGCCATTTACTCAGATGGAAAGGGCTGCAAGACAACAGGTTTGGAGAGGAAGATCAGGATTTGTTAAAATATTGGGCCTCTATATAACAGATTATAAATATGTAGCTATTCGGGAGGATCTACAAAGAGATCTATATGTAGTAAGGTAGAAATACTACCCAAGGTATTAATTACAAGGTACAATAAATAAGGTATGATTCTTGTTATGAAGAAATAAATACATATTTATTAATATGTGCATTATTCCACATAATTCTAACAATTTCTAACCTGTCTTTCTAGGTCAATGTTAAGAGTTTGTATTTTATTCCATAGGCTGTGGGAACTTTTTCAAGGCTTTTGGTCAGTGGAATGCTATGATCATAATTATGCTTTGGGAAGATGAATTTAACAATATACAGAATGAAGGAACAGTGGGAAACCCAGGGACTGAAGTCTGTGAACACATACCAAGTTATATTTAAATACTTTGAAATAAGTCTATAGAGGTCAGAGACAATGTTGGGTTTTTTGTTTTTTTTTTTGTTTTTTGGGTTTTTCCCCCCTAGCTTCTAACCTAGAGCAAGCCAAAAAAAAGGGGGGGGGGTGTTGATAAATGGTGAACTAATGAATGGTGAACTAATGAATACATGTATCAGCAGTTCATTGTTTGAGAAAAGGCTAGTCTAAATTAATAAAAATTCCTAATTACATTTCCCCCCATTGCTTTTATTACATTCAGGAGGTAACAGAAAACAGTATAGCTTTAACACATAGTAGACCTATGGAGATCTGACTTTAGTTAACTAGTAGACTAAAATAATGTCAAATACTACTTACTGTCTTTGATGCTACGTTTGACTTTTTTTCTTTGAGAGTTTACAACAATTAGGGTTATTTTAAATTTATCTCCTACCTGCATACGTTCTTTAAGGGCTCCATTTTCTTAATAAGAAGAGTCCTTTGAATGGTAATGAAAAGTTCTGATCATATAGTATATATTGTTCAAAAGAGTTAAAACTGTCAGATAGAAATTTCAAGAAAGATTTTTCAGAAGATACTCTGATTAAGTTGTCATTGATTGGTCCAAAGACCATACTTCCCTTTTTCCCTGAAGAGATAGATTTTGGGCTTAGTTTCAAAAGATGACATAAACAAGATAAAAGACAAGTGACTCCCCCCCCCCCCCAAAAAAAAGACATTTTAAAGTAATTAATGTTAAACTTTTTAAGGAAAAGTTTTTGTCCCTTTGGGTTTTTGTTTGGGTCAAATTATTTTTCCCCCAAACTGGAAACTGCTTCAGTACCCGTAGCCTGTGGCGTAGAGAGTAGGCAGTGGTTTCAAGGCAACAGTTTGCATTGGCATGGGGCAGGCACTGTGAGAGGCCCAGGGAACTTTTTTTTTTTAAATGTAAATATCAAATGTATTTGGCTTGCAATTTCCAATGGAAGGACAAAAATTTATTGTTGTCGAGTTCATGATTATATTTGTCATTGATTTTAGTAAATTGCAAGATATTTGCTAAAAATGTCTTGTTTATTTCAGGGGCTACACTAAGTATGAGACCAGCCCCCATTCCAATAGAGGACCCAGAGTGGAGACAAACACCTCCCCCAGTCTCTGCCACATCTGGCACCTTCCGACTACGACGAGGGAGTCGATTTACCTGGAGAAAGGAGTGCCTGGCTGTAATGGAAAGGTACATGTGTCCTTTCCCATGAGCAATCTCCCAACCTTAGGAAAGAGAGAAACCGTAGATAGATTTGGGACAGTTTTCATTCCAGACAAGTAATTTGGGATCTAAGTTCTATCTCTAAATGTATTTTGGAATATATTATAAATGTATATTATTGAAATAAGATGATCTTACCATTGAGAAGTCATAAAACTGGACTTAGCATCTGTGAATATAACTTAATAGTGTTCTCAGTAATTTCAGAAACTTTAGAAGAATTTTTTTATTTAATTCTTTATATTGTATTTTAGAAACACTCTTCAGAGTCTTATTTTCATCAAAAATATTGAATACTTACACAAGAGTCTACTGAGATTTTACTTCTTTCAATCAGGAGTGTGACTTAAATAAGCTTAGTCCCAAAGGTTCGAAATACATGTTTTTACTTTGATTTGGTAATTTATCTTTTGACTCTAGTACCGGTATCTGATCCATAGTAAGTACTCAGTATGTTTTAGACCGGAATTAGACCTTAGCTTCAGTTTTCCTATCTGAAATGGTATAAATTAATTAAATATGATTATTAAATGCTCAGTATATTTAGGGTGATCCTGTAGTAGAATTACCCTTTTAGTCTCCTACCTATAAGTAATGTGTATGGAATTTTGTTTCGATGAAGAGTTTTATATTCAATAAGGTAATGTTTTCTGTTAGAAAAGTATTTACTTCCAAAGATAAAATATAGAGAAAAAGAATATATTAGGCAAGGGTAAAAACAATTGGATTTTCATATTGAGATTTCTCAATAATTTAAATAATGGAAAAGAATGGAATTGAATGTTTAAAACTGGGTTTAACTTCTAAGGTAACATAGAATACATATTTACATTGAACCAGTTTCACTTTTTTCCCCAGTTATCTAATCTGACTTGTCGAATGGCAAACTGGAAAGAGCATTTGACTCAGAGTCAAAGACCTGAAACCCTGATTTGGCTTTGGCATTTAACCAGCTATGCAACTTTGTCCAGGTCACAAACTCTGAGCAGTAACTTCTTCATCTATAAAATGAAGTTTTTCAGTAGCCACTGGTGAACCATATGTCATCCGGGACTTTTGCCATCTCTCTTTCTGCCTCTTTTCTGATTATCTCCCAGCTCATTAGACATCACTACCTGATGTAGACAGAGATTGAAAATGTGAAAGTTGAGGCCTGGGTTTTTGTTCTTGTGATTCGGTTAAAATTAAAAAGTTTGCTTAAAGAGACTGTAGATTATTCATTGATGTTATATGTTGCCTTCCTTAGTCTCTTTATTGTAAATTCTAGTAGAGGCCATTCACTGAATAACGAATCCTTATATGCTTGAGCAGTTAAAGTAGAAGAGTGAGACTTTTTCGTCCCAGAGCCCTGACATTTAAAATCTGGTTTATTTTTCTCTTCTAGAAACTATGATTGTTTCAGAAAACTTCTTCAGCACTTGCTATATAACAGAAATGAATTTAAATAATATCAATCTTAAATTATTTGCAGCATTATCTATTTTCCACCTGGGTACAAAACGAGCTTTGGTTGTAAGTTCTGATTTGCTACTGATTCCGCCATTTAATTTTTTCATGAAGATACCAATATACATTTATCACATAATGTCAGTATGAGAACAGATTAATGTTAAAATTGATAATATTAATAATGAAAGGTGATATTCCTAATGCATTTTCAGAATTGAACCTTGTTTCCAAAGCAACCAAACTGCCCACAGAATCACACTGATCAAATTTCAGTTACAAAGATATTAAGGCTGCCGGTGACTCTTGATCTTGGCTCCAGTCTTGATCTCAGGGTTTTGAGTTTAAGCCCAGCCCCACATTGGGCTCCATGCTAGCCATGGAGCCCACTTTAAAAAGAAAAAAGATATGAGCACTTACCCTGTGTAAAACTCTCATTTAATCTTAATTTTCACCTTTTAACCTTCATTTTAATTAATAAATGCCTTTAATTCAGGAATTGGTTATCTTTGGTTTAATTTTATCTTACGTGGCTCAACCAGTAAGAAAGTATGTAGTTTATTCCAGTAGTTGCAAAAATGCAAAAGCCTCTCAGAGTATTTAATAGCAGTAGATCATGGTATGATTTCATTCTCTGAAAGTGGAACTTTTTATTTTCTAACATGGAATATAAAATTCTCTGGCAATGCATGATGTTTTTCAGTACACTGAATTAGTGAATAAATACACATGCAGAGGGGCGCCTGGGTGGCTCAGTGGGTTAAAGCCTCTACCTTCGAGCTCAGGTCATGATCCCAGCGTCCTGGGATCGAGCCCCACATCCGGCTCTCTGCTCAGCGGAAAGCCTGCTTCCCCCTCTCTCTCTGCCTGCTTCTCTGCCTACTTGTGATCCCTCTTTCTGTCAAATAAATAAATATAATCTTTAAAAAAAAAAAAATACACATGCAGAGACTATAAAGCCAGCAAACTCGTAGGCTTACTCAAGTATATTCGTATAAGTCAAAAATTATTCATTCTTCATACCATACACCAAACAAATTTCGAATGAATCAAAAAAAGTGAATCCGTATAAAATAATAGAAGAAAATACAGATCCCCTGGAAATGGTAAAATTTTTCCTAACTAGAACTCAAAATCCAAAATATGGGAAAGGATCGATAAATTTGATTATTTACATTAAAAGAAAAACTTTGGGGAGAAAAATATATACAAACAAGGTAAAAATAAAAAAGAAAAAGAAAAATTGGAAAAAGTATTTGCTGCATATTATTATCCCTGATGTATAAACAACTTTTAAAAGAGAAGGAAGACCACCAACTCTGTAGAAACTAGATACCTGCAGAAAAACAAACGCAGATGCCTCTTAAACATATAAAAGAATGTTCAGTTTAACTCATAGTAAGAGAAACTCATATTAAAATTATACTGAGACACTATTCTTCTCCTGTCACATTGGCAAAAATCCAAAGGTTCCATAACATTTGTTTATTGATTGAGCTATAGGGAAATGGGCACTCTCATACACGGCTTGTGGGAATGCAAAGTGTAACAACTTCCATGGACAGGAATTTGATAGTATTGGGGACAGTTACCCATGGATTTGCCCTTTGACTCAGCATTCTCACTTCTAGAAAATTATCCCAGAGATAAACTGACAGAAGCGTAAATATAGCATCCCTGTTTGCAATAATATCAAAATATTGAGTACAACTGTGTGTCTATCAGTAGTGGACTGGGTGAATAAATTACAGTGAATTATACGTTGAATGCCCAGGCTCAAATAATAGAGTGCTACACAGCAGCAAAGGGAATGAGTTTTCCTTTCTACAGAATGAAAATCATACTGTGTCCTTCTGTACTATCACTATGAAATATTTTGTAAGGCTTTTTCACATTTTTATATCCATCAGAATGAATACTTTTCTATATACAGTGATCTTCAGATATAATGTTAAAAAAAGCAGTGTCAGTTGTATATAGTAGGCTATCATTTGTGTGTTTGCTTATAATTTGTTTTAAGATGAAGGAGTACACCATAAAATAAAATGGTTACCAATAAAAGAGAAAAAAACACAGATTGTAGGGGACAAGAATAGAAGCTCAACTCATCTAAATATACCATGTTTTCACATTGTAACCATATAGATATTTTATGTAATTATAAAACAAAATTACTTTGAAATGGGGGGGAAGGTGACCCCTAAAAAAAACTAAAAGGAAACAAAAGTGTGACCTAAACATTCATGAACTGTGTTGAATAGCTTTATAACACAGTATTTTGACTATGCGTCTTGGTGGGATACAGCTTAGGAATAAAAAGAACTACAAAAAAATCTTACCTTGCTTTTACTAATGTTGGTAATATTAATAATGTTATTCAGGTACTATTTTTATTTGTGTAGATACAGATATAGGTAAGACAATCATAGTGTTATTAGGAATCAAGTTTTTCAGTGTAGAGCATATAAACATAAAATAATTAAGTAAATCACTATAATCTTTTGTGTATGTGTGTGCATATAGAAATTTATCTTGTTTGTATTTTTTAATAACAGCCTTATTGAGATACAGTTCACCTAATTAAAATGTATTACTCAGTGCTTTTTAGTGTACTTACAATTATGCAACTGTCAGCGCACTTTTAGAATATTCTCTTCACCCCCCAAAAAACTCTTGTACCCAGTAGCAGTCCCTCCTTTCTCCCCCATCCTCCCAACCCTACATAACCATTAATCTGCTTTCCCTGTATATAGATTTGGCCAGTCTGGATATTTCATATGAATGGAATCAAACCAACTTGGCTGTTTGTGACTCACTTCTTTCACTTAGTATAATGTTATCAGGGTTCATCCATGTTGTAGGTCATTTCAGTATTATATTTCTTTTTGTTGCCAAAGAATAGTCCATTCTATAGATATGCCATATTTTATTCATTCATTTCATTTATTTATTTGTTTCATTATTTATTATTATTTCATTCATTTATTCACTCATAATTTATTCAATCATCAATTGTTGGACATGTGGGGTTGTTTCCACTTTTTATCTATTATTGGTAATGCTGCCTTTAGTGAAATTGTGTACTAAGTGGAATTGCTGGGTCATATGGTGACTGTGTTCAACCTTTTCAGAAACTGCCAGACAGTTTCCAAAGCATATATACCATTTTACATTCCATCGACACCGTACGATGGTTCCAGTTTCTCACCAGCATTTGTTCTGCTGTCTTACTGGTTCTAATCTTCCTAGTATGTGAACAAGTAGATTTTCATTGTGGTTGTTATTTGCATTTCCCTAACCAGTGATGATCAGTATCTTTTCATATGCTTATTGGCTATTTCTGTTTCATCTTTGGAGAAATGTCTATTCAGATCATTTGCTCATTTTTTAAATTGGCTTGTCTTTATATTCAGTTGTAAGTTTTCTTTATATGTTCTAGATAGGGGTTCCTTATAAGATACATGGTTTCAAATACTTTTTTTTGTACCTTGACATTTTATTTATTTATTGAATTTTTTAAA